TCACACACAGAAGAAGGCAATTGCAAACCACTTCTGGATCATCTGCCAAGAACGTATATGAACAGGTCCCAGTCCGAGAAAAGGATGGAAGGATCCTGTTCATATGGACCTGTCGTCAGACAGAACACTAAAAAAAATGAACAAAACAGATTTGGTTAAACATTTCCATGTTCCGTTCAGGTTTGAAAATAAATGTCATCTTTTCTCTCTTCCTTGATAAATTAAACAATTTTTGAAATCAATATATTTTTGTCTTAGATCATTAAAAGATGGTAAAAGCTGGTATTTTCCTTTGTATCAACGAATCTAGGAGTTATACAGAGCACGTTGTTTCTTAACGATTTATATTGCTTACAGCAGTGAAATGGTTGACCTAATACGAGTCTAGTAAGGATGAGATTAGGCAACATCGAAAGTCAGAGAGCAATTTAGTATGGGCGAACGGGAGGTGCGTAGTTTCCGAGACTGTGATAAAGTACGCTTAGACGGAGACAGAACTACACATACAGATGGAGATATAACAAGATGAAATGTACCAAATGGCTACTCTACAGCGTTGTATCAGGCCGAGAAGTGCCATTAGTGAGACAGAATTAGGCCCATTCCCATTACACTATTAGAAACTGAACAAATACTTGCGGTAACTTGAGTGACTGGTACAGAAACCTACATGCTCCGTAATTAAAATACGTAGGCGTTTCTCCTCATTTATTCACTGACCTCTACCTAATTATGTTCTTATTGATCTTGTTAACGACACAAGCGAATTGAGATATGATGTACTTAATACTTTCTTCAGCTTTCACATAAACACATAAGCAAACGTTCTAAACATTAGTTTATTTCTTCTTTAATGATTTAATTGTTTATTGGAAACTGGTGACAGAAAATCGTAGATTCAGAGGGTCCTGACTTTTTATTACGAACTGATAAATAAATGCGATTTGTGTGGAAAACAGTTCCAGTTGGATAGATTCCAACGAGAATTTCCACATACATTTCTTGTTACGATTAAAGTAGTTTACTTTATTACCGACTGGCTATCGAGGTCTACACTCGATTTTGGTTTTCCAATGGCCCTATAGGAGCGCTACATGGTGGAAGTAGATGGCAGTAGAGTCCGAACGAATACAAGAATAAGACCAGCAGTCATCTGTTTGGAGGTGTGCTGGGGTATGTTTAACTAATAAATGTGTATGTTTCGTATATGTTTGTTATGATTCTGACACCCTGTGGGTACTTGAATATTTGATTCCTAACAATAAATAATTCACGTACAAAAATATACTTACGTTGGTTGAAGTTGTCATCTTTAAAAATTATTGAATACTGTGATAGGTTATGATCAAATTTCAAGTATGATGCTGTTGGATTCGTAATATGTGTATAATATTTTTTGTAAATTCAGTCATTTGAGCATCATACGGATAAGACATTCGTCAAGCAGAAATAAACATACCATGGATTCATCGGATGATGAAGTACCTGAGTTGGTACCAGCAATATTCAGACCAGTCCCAGTAACCATTATTACAGGTTATCTTGGTGCTGGAAAGACAACTTTACTAAATTATATTCTTACTGAACAACACGAAAAGAAGATTGCTGTTATACTTAATGAATTTGGAGAAGGTGTGTACTAATTTCACTTTAAGGTTAATTTTTAAAATGTACAAACCTTACTGTTTCATACTTCTGCAAACAACATAAAGAATTACATCAGTTCTGACATGTAGTACTATAATTTCTTGTCTTTATTTAACCCAGTAGATTTTTTTTTGTATCTTCAACAAATACTATTTCACTGCCTTGAGTATTTTTTGGTAGCAAGAGCATGACAATAAATAAATAGTGGAACAATGACTAGTTCATATCAGCACAGTGGCTGTGAGACTGGTTTACTGTTGAATTTAGTTTTGTTGAAATATGTAGTTTATGGAATGTACTGCGACTAGGACAGGTTTAAACCTATGATATCATTTATTGTTATTTGTAGGAAGTGCCTTGGAGAGAAGTGTGGCAGTCGGACAAGGCGGAAATTTATACGAAGAGTGGCTTGAGTTAAGAAATGGTTGCTTATGCTGTTCTGTTAAGTACGTTCACTTGTCATACTATAATTATATATAAAAATATTGATCAATTATCGTAAGTTACTGGTATTCATTTTCATGTTTTTATTTGTGTGCTAGTTTTTGTGGATGCATATACTACGTGAATCTGTTTTGCAACAGTACGTTCGCAGTATTTTTAATAAATTATCCTCATTGCTTTATAATTTAATATCAATATTCTTTAGTAGGAGACGTTTGACAAAATATTCTGAACTGAAGCAGTTTCAGAAGTAAGTAGAAAGATGGATAAAACTGTGTAATGAAACTTTGTAGTGACAATATAAAATTTATTTAATATATTTGAAATCAAAAAACTCCCTTCACGCTGTCTAGTAATAATTTTGTATGCTGAAATTAACCGGTTTATATTTATAAATAATATACATGTAAATTCAGTGATTTAATGGTTATTTCAGAGACAATGGTGTTAAGGCAATTGAAAACCTGATGACGAAACGAGGAAAATTTGACTACATATTACTGGAGACAACAGGCCTGGCAGATCCTGGTTAGTTTGTAATGACTTTTATTAAACAAGCAACAAAAGCAATCGTTAGTTTGTAATGACTTTTATTAAACAAACAACAAAAGCAATTAAAATGAGGTTATGTTTATTACAAACGTAATTTATTTTGATCTTTAAAAGATCTTTATCCTTGTTGGAGGAGGACTGGCATTAAAATATCAGTATAATTGTGCAAAAATAATAAATTAGATAAAGACACTCAAAATATTTGTATCTTAGTACAGAAATGCTGTATCATCAGGCACACATTTTCACGAACCTCCTTAGTGTAATAAAAAGTTGAACTTGTTACTGTGAACTGCAGAAATATATTTAACAGCAAATTCTTCAGCTTCTAAGCGTGACTCGCTATCGGGATGATAACAGTAAGTGGATTTTGATTAAATTTTATGTAGAGAACTCAATTGAAATTGAGGTCTAAACTGAAATTAATTTAACTACTTTAGCCCAAGTTGGTTGTATATATTTCAGGTCCAATAGCGTCTATATTCTGGCTGGATAAGGATCTCGGCAGTGACATTTTTCTAGATGGTATGTAAACTTGTTAAAACTTTTAAGACAGATAGTTTTAGTTGACTTATACAGTGAGGATATTTGGTGGCCTTACCCCTATTTGAAATTATTGAATTCATAAATTAATTGATGTTGTTCAAGATTCTCTTTGTGTGTTTGCACTAGAGAATTGAGTGTTTTCATGGGAACCTTACGAGAAGCGTGACTTCAGTAGGTAAAGTGAGAGGAAGTTCAGAAAAAAGTTTCCCAGAGTCTGGGTTCGACATAGAAACATTATTTATAATATTGTCAATAAATACAGGAACATCTGACATATTAATAGATAGGAAAATGTCAGCTTCAGATATTAAAATAAGGAAAGCGTGATGAACTGAGAGATTTGATCTTCTTCCTGTGGGATATCTTTCGTAACCTGTTGTTCCCATTTTGATACGAGTATCCTACTTGAGCGTTTTCCTTCATTTTCATGTTCAGAACCTTCTTTGAAATTCAACGACTTTATTCTGTTATTCGTCGCGTTACTTCTGAGACACCCACTTCAAATCTTGGCAGAGAAACTGTTCTGATTAACTTCTAATTAACTATGTCTAATTACAAATGTCTCCCTCCTTACAAGTTATGTTAATTTTGAAATGTTAGTCAGTGTTATACATTCTCTGCAATTGACACAGTGTCATTACATAACCCAATAGTTGAGGACCTTATACAGACTCTGATCATTCAAGTATCATGGCGTCAATGAACGCTTAATAAATGTGTAATAGCAAGACATTTTACAAATTACGTGCGCTGGTTATTATACTTTATGTAATTCCGTTCTTACAGGAATTGTGACGGTCGTCGACAGCAAACATGGCCTTAAGGTAAGAACATTTTATGATTTTATTTTCTGTAGTGCACATACAGTATGATTTTCAGAATTGCATTTTTTATTATGGGCTCCCGAGTTATCAGACGTACGTCTCCTCACACAGGACAGTTTTATTCAGTTCTAGCACGTAATTCGTGGTGCTGCTTAGTTGTAATTTGCACAAAGAGTGATGTGGCACAATTTTGTCCATTTCAAGCTGCCATTTAATGTTATGTAGTCTCTTCCATTCAGACTTCCCAACTAAAAGTCTCTACACATTTTACATCTCCCATGTATGCTTTATGCCCTGTCCATTTTATCGTCCTTATAATATTTTGTGAAGGACACAAATTATGGTCCTCATTATGCAGTGTTCTCCTGTCACCCCCATCTCTCTTCATCCAAATATACTCCTCAAATGTTCTTTGTTCTACCCTCAACATCAGACTCCGTAACAGGACCTGTGAAATAATTTATCAGTAATAACATTCAGAAAATGTATCTGATCAGGTAAGAAATTAAACTTCCCAGTCATTTTGCAACGTCTGCCAGACTTAATCGATTTTCAAAATGAACTCTGTTGTCCTGTTTCGACAATTGCTGCCATCTAGGTACATGTTTCGTTACTGCTACCTTAACAGAACAATCTCGGTGGCTCGGTAGATACTAACCTTCTCCGTCGGTGAGCCCTGTTGTAGGTGTCGCCTGTGTCCAATTGTACGCGTGTGAATGTGCAAGAAATGTTCATATTGCGAGCTTAAAGGCTTTGAAATTACTTCTTATGTTCACGTGATGAGAATATGAACCGGAAGAAAGATAATGTACACCAGGCTTATTTTTTGTACCCGTTTTCGTGTTAAAGTTCTGTTAGGGTGTTCTGGGTACATGACACACAAAAAAAAAACGCTTAGTTTGGAAGAGGACAGTAAGATATTTGAATGCAGAAGCGAAGTGGCAGTGTGAACAAATGCTAGGAGGGAAAGCTGTTTTGTGTGGCTGAGAGGGCGCGCATGCGCAGTTGTTCCAAATCCCTGGTGCTCGTTTCCAATAACATTTATTGCCAAACAAGGGCGGCGCGCTTGAGGTCAGCCAGGGTTTACCCTGGGGCCACAGTAAACATGTAAAACTCATTTCGAAACTATAATATAACTTGTATTGAGCCCAGTCAGGAACAGAGAGCAGCCACAATGGAATCCGCCCTCTGTCTCGTGTTCTGCCAAAGCACAGTTATCCGTGCCTTTAATACCTTGAACTCGTTCATACTTTGTACCCGGCTGCACTGTCTTATGTATTCATTCATTTACCATACAATATACGTCTATATACAGGGTGTTCCAAAAATACGGAACCGTTGAAAAAAATTGTTTTGCGAATATGGAAGAATGCAAAGAGTGAAAAGTTGTTGAAAATCATGTGTTTTTAAACTTAAAGTTTTGGATTCTTTTTCCTTGCACTCTGTGCATCATAAACTATAAAAAGTTACGTTGACATGACAGCGAAAAGAATGTTAGTTGGAAAACCTGTAGTGACGAGACAATTTAAGACCCAGGCGTAGGCGGGAGGATAATATTAAAATGTAGTAAATATTGTGGGAGTGTGTTGACTGAATTCGTGTCGCTTATGGCGGTGGCCGGTGGCGGGCTCTTGTGAACCGTCGGGTTTTAATTAAAGGTGGGCAGTTTCTTTAATTTAAGAAAGATTCCACTCTATGAAGTCGGCTAATATTTTAATCTGCCATTTGTACCGGATGTAGGAAGTCGACATTTAGGGTTACGGTGTAGAGAGAAGATTATTTTGTGCAGGGAAATGATTGTCACATGTCGAGGGTTAGAGACCGTGTGGATAATGCCAGATTAAGCCAGGTTCTGCTTTTCATTCGTCAGCGACCAAATATTATGAATCAGGTGCAGTTCCGACTGGCTCGGACAGACGAATTGGTTTCCCTCTTTTTTTCTGCTCTGATCTGCTCCTAAGCCTCAATTGTCTTCTTGAATAAAGCATCCCTCTCCTCACGTAGCGTAGGAATGAGCTGTGATACAAATGTGAGGAAGACAATGGTATTATTAAAAAGGTATCAACTATGGTGAAGGGATTTCTATTGCCTTCTTTGTTATACTTAAAAACTTAAGTTTTTTTTAGTATTAATATTACAGCAAGTCATGTACTGCTTCAAACTAAAGTTTTTACTTAATATGTATTTCTCAAGACTCTCTGTTATGTTTTGTTAGAAATATTTTTTTCTCTTTATGCCAATGTCCTTAATCGTTTTGAATCTGGAGCTCGTCTAAATAACATTTAAGAATTCTGTCCGTACCGCAAAGAAAACACGTCACTTCACCGTTACAAAGATCAGTTGGTTAACGCTGTTTAAGGAGATAATCGCTGTTTATGTTAAAGTAGATTAGTACATAAAATTTTCTGAAGGAGGCCCCCTTATCGGCTGTCCGCGACAGCTTCTTCAGTATATTCACAGGTAACCTCCGTAATTTAAGGTTGTTCCTTCATCCGCGCCGTGACTCGCCTATCATGGACATAAAATTACCATAAAGGGTAATTGCATTTTTATTGTTCATTTCAGCAACTTGGAACGAAATCCCAACTTGAAATGCCCTCTGAAGATGGTAAAGGTTCTTTGAACGAAGCAGTCAGGTGAGTACTCGGTCTCACCATAAAGATGACATACTTTAAAATAGACTAGGATCTAATCATGAGATGGTAAAGTTGCGTCATATTGTGATATAATAAATATATATTATTTAAATCTTGTCCGTCTAATCACAATAAAATTCATATTAAATATTAAAATATTACAATAATTAACATTTAAAATATTAATGATGTTCTTTATCGAAATATTCGATGATGGTCTAATGTAAATCGAATATTTCGATAAAGAACATCATTAATATTTTAAATATTTTAAATGTTAATTATTGTAATATTTTAATATTTAATAAGAATTTATTGTGATTAGACGGACAATATTTAAATAATATATAGGATCTAATCATTCAAAATGCTTGCTTCTTACATACAGTTCATAATAATCTTCACATCACATTCTACGCTCATTAAATTCTGCCTTGTGTTACCCCTCCCGTCTGACACTGACGTGATTTTTTTCGGAGAGGATTCGAACCCAGGCCTCTTCGTATATTGAAGCGGATTGAACCAAGCGTCACTTCCTTTTATTCTTTTGTTGAATCCACTTTTATTGCTCGATATTTTTCATACCTTTTTAAGATTGAATCTTGACTTATCTTTGTTTCTTTTATGAAGTTCTCTCCTCTCTCTCTGGTTGGTTTATTACACTTGTGCACACTCCAGCGATTACTTGTCATTGTTCCCTGGTATTTGTCTCCTCTTATACTTTTCTAATCGGCACTGAATCGTCGCATCCGATACAATTATTACTTACGTAAGGGTTGATAGCGCTGACGTCAAATTCTTGCAAACTTCATTTGTTCTGTCATGGCGGCTGCAGTATTTGGAGCGTGCTTCACCAGAGCTGACTCCAACACTTGTCAGATACATTTTGGGACTTTTCCTCGCTATTCAGGCAAGTGGCCTCCTTGACAGGTGATGACACGCATGTGACTTTAAACCAGGTCTCAGTAAATTTCGTATAGATATTACTGCAAGCTTAGAAAAAGCTAATCCAGTACGAAACCTGAATCGAGATGTATTGTTTCCATAGAAATTTCACTAACTAACTAGATGGCTTACCGAACCCGAAGGTTCATCACCGAATTAACCAAAGCTCTCCACCGGACCCTGTCCTGGGCCAACAAAATCCAGTCTCCTTCAACTCCTATCTCCCGTAGATCCCGTCTGAGATTATCCTCCCATCTACGTCTAGGTCTCCCCAGAGGTCTCTTCCCCTCAGGCTTCCCAAATAGTGGACCCAACCAACTAGATGGCTTACCTAACCCAAAGGTTCATCACCGAATTAACCAAAGCCCTCCACCGGACCCTGTCCTGGGCCAACAAAATCCAGTCTCCTTCAACTCCTATCTCCCATAGATCCCGCCTGAGATTAACCTCCCATCTACGTCTAGGTTTCTCCAGCGGTCTCTTCCCCTCAGGCTTCCCAAATAG